TGCAACTGATATATACCGGTAAGTATATTTTGCCTTTCACCTTCTTTAAGTAAACAGTATATGATTAAGATTTAAGATTTAAGGTTTAATTTATTTGTATGCCGCCCTTCTCCGGGAGGGACTCAGGGCGGCAAACAACTCAAAAGGGGAAAGGGGATACAAACACAATACACGTAATTAAAATACACAAGATACCATTAGGAATGTTAGATTTCACTAACTGTTCCTAAAATTCCTTCCTCAAAATGTGATATTATGCTATTCACATATCTTCTTCTCTAGCACAGTAGGTAACCTATATATTATACTCAATCAAATTTTTCTGTAACAAAATTCATAGTGGAAAAGACACAGGAATATTGGCAAAAATTGGTATATCAAAGGCAACTGCTCAATATCCATCTCTGAAATAATGATAGAAGATTTTAAGAACAGCCTTGTTGGCTCACATCAAAATCCATATTATCCCACGAATAGCCCCCAGAAGCCTGTGAGATGTTCACCAACAGGGTGAGGAAATACCCCTTTCCCATGATTATTCCTTTGCAACTTCTTTAGTTGGTCAGAATGCAGTATTGCAGGCTAATTCTGCCGACTGTCAGCAGTTCAATCCCCACCAGCTCAAGGTTAACTCAGACTTCCATCCTTCTAAGGTTGGCAAAATGAGGGCCCAGACTGTTTGGGTCAATATGCTGACTCAGTAAACCACTTAGAGAGCGCTATAAAGCAGTGTGAAGCTTTATAAATCTAAGTGATATTGTTATTGCTAATTAAACCAGCTTCTATGCCTAAGGAAGGATCAAAACTGACAGCATTCCAGCTTTTAGAGCAGGATCTTTAACCTTTACATCACATTGGCTCTTGAATGCACAGTTACTGCTTGACGTATGACACAATTGGGACTGGAATTTTCATTGCTAAGCAATACGATTGTATTAAGTGAGTCACGTCCAGTTTTACTACTTTTTTGCCATGGTTATTAAGTGAAGCACATGGTCATTAAATGAATCCAGCTTACCTCATTGAGTTTGCTTGCCAGAAGCCAGCTGGGAAGGTAGCAAATTGTGATCATATGACCCCAAGATGCTGAAACTGTTATAAATACATGTCTGCAAACTTTGATTATGTGGCCAGTGGATGCTGTAATGGTTGTAAGTGTGTCATAATTCACTTTTTTCAAGTGTCGTAACTTCGAATGGTCACCTAATGAATGGTCATAAGTAGAGTACTACTGAATAAATACAGCTATGTTTATATGAATGAATATATAGCATGTATAGAGAGAATTTTATGTGCATACATATACAGACACATCATTCTTTGTGCGTATTACACATTACACAATTATGCATTGTAGAATGAAATTAGGCTTCAGGGGCTAGAATAACACTGATGGGAGTTTCAAATTACTGAGAACTAGTGCTTCACAGGCCAGCTGAGCTCTAAGGATTTGGCTCAGTAACATAAGAACAAATTGTAACAATCTCTATGTCTGTTTTCACTATATTGTAAAAAAAGAAAATTGGAATAGTTTCAAACTGAAGGCAAACTGCTGCTTTTTTGTTTGCCCTGTAAGTTTTGTGTGCCTGTGTGCACGCGCACACACACTTTTTACCTGTAAATATTCAGGTTTTCTTTTTGTTGTTGTTTTTGCAAACTGCCCAAATAAAAAGCACAGACCTGAATTATAAACCAGCAAATGAAGAACAATTAAAGTAGACCCCTGTGAATTTTCTATTTGCACCATTAATCTTTCATAGAACACACATTGTTTTACGGGATTTCTTTCTTGTTTCCGTGCTCTTCAACTACCCTGAAAACAAATAGACTTTTGCTGAACTCTGTAGTGCAATCCTTAACATCTGTAGTGAAGTCAAGACTGAATAGTTGCCTCTCATTTCAGAACAGCTGAGAACAGAAACAAAAGAAACCACCCCTTGGGAATTGTCTGCTAACGTCAATAAGGGTAAGGGGATCATTAGCAGTAGAAATGATATGTTACCACATGGGAGACAGCAGTGATCCAACATGGAGCAGATTTACGTCAAGGGAACTTTTCATTCTCTCTGAAGGAACCCTACTGGTAACTACAACATGCATACATTTGTACTAAAGTCATATTTTATTTATTGTACTCTAGGGACTAAAAGCATTGCACTGAAAAGAAAAAAAACCTTCAAGTGTCTTCAAGACAAATGTGAACATAAGAAAACTTACAAAAACATGTTTCTTTCTCTTTTCTAGGAATCTGTTGGTAATTATATTCTTTCTACTAATAATGGTTTGTGCTATCTATAAAACTATGGAAAACTCGGAAGACTGCAAGTCATCCAGGACCCTATAAAAATTCATAATGAGGCAGACTGTCTGCATGATAAATACCTTGTCTGGAAGTACCTAAAATCTCCCGCTACTCAAGCCACACAACATAAACCATTTTTCATACAATCTTTTAAAAAAATGAATGCATGGAAGAGGAATTCACTTTGCTTGCTGCATATTCACACCATCTTGCACTGTTTCAAAGACTGTTTGCACTGTCGATGATATATGAACAGGCTCGGGGTTTATGATGAAAACACTACAAAAAGTAATGCTTCCATAGAATGAGCTACACGGTTATTGAAAGTTTGTTTTGCAAGTCCAGCAATACTGTCACCCAATGTAAATCAGGTAATGCATCTCCAACTTCCAACATCATAAACCATTTAGATAGGACTAATGTGAGTTACAATTTAACTACTTTCAGAGGGACATTCATTGCTTATATTTTCCCTAAAAGTTATGTAGTTTGTGGTTTCTTTCACCATCACCATCATGCATGCGCTGACAATTTCTAGTTTAAAATATTTTGAAAATCACCATAATATGAAATTTCACAGGACTCAACAGTCTTAAGTAAATTGCATGTGAAACTGGGCAGAAAGCTGGGTGGACACATAGAGGATGTTTATGGGCTACACCTATTCTCTGCATATAATCTTATGGTACCTCAATGCATACCTATAGTAAAAATGCTTACTGAGGGGAAAGAAAGATAAGGATGAATCCATTAAGGCTTGTGATTGCTTCTACTCCCCCAATATTTTTAGGACTGGTAAACAAATAACTTTCATCACTACTTTGACCATAAAGGAAAATCTGTCTTTTGTGCCCTTTATTCTTCCACCAGTTCTCAAGTTAGCTGGTCTTTAAGTATTTCTTAATTAATAGGCAAAACTTTCACCTTTAATACCAGAAGGGGAGGAAGCTCTTCTTAATTTTTAGTTGAGTTCAGAATTCAGAAGAAACCATCTTAACTCTAACAACTTTTAAAATTAAAGTACTCAAGAAAAGTACTCAAGAAAAGCTTCCGTATTATAAGTAGTTGAAATACCAAAGCTAAATGCTGATTTCTTCAGATTCCAATTAACGCATACACTAAAGTCTATTGGTTTCTATTTCTACCTTTGACTGCTAGTCTAATTGCTGATGTTCTTTTCTCATTCTTTCAAAATACGAGTAAAAAATTCTGTAG